ATGAAAGTCCTTCAGCCCCTAGTAGGATTACACCAAACAGCCCACTCATTTTCCATATGATTGAGAGTAATTATCATTATTGATTAATGAGAATTTAAGATAAGACAACAGTAAAAGGCATCACCAAATGTCATCACTCAACCTACAAAAAAAAAGGATGACAATATTTCGTTTTAACATGAGGCAAGATAAATCGCTACACTGCATTTTACATACATAAAATAAATTATACAACAAATGCAAGCATTTTTACGATCATCTATTTGCTTATTTGACCTCTTTATTTTTTACTTGACTACAATCTTATTGAAGGTAAATATGAACTTTCTTTGCTTAAATAAATTAGAACATCTAGAATTTTGGTCTAGAACTTATTAATTCCATCCCTCTTAATTTGATTATAAACCCCTATATAATTATAACATATTTTGACCAAACAGTAAACAAGAACACACAAGAAAAACTAGCAATTGTCTGTGGTGCGAGAAACGGTTTAATTTACTATGATGACTGTTTTTCTGTTCGATATCCAGCTGAATCTCATTAGCCTTCATTACTGACTGTGCTTAGTCACAATAAAAGTGTCCCTCCTCTGCAGTACTGATGTGACTCGAGTTCTGCATCGCAATGAACATCTGCTTTGTCATGCTTCTTTAAATGATCTCAAACACTCGAAATAGTGTGTAAAAATAAAGATGATTTTACTTACCATCCCATTGGAATTATTTATCCCATTCATGCTAATTTTTGTTACAAATCTAACAGTCGGTGGTACTTCAGGATATTTAGGTCCGCACTCCACTTTCAGGCTGTATATCCTGTTTTCATAATTAGTCTGTGAAAGGAGGGGAAAAAGTCAAGAGTTAAAGCTAAAATGGCAAGTGGAACATGAAAGTGAGACGATAATAAATGCATCGACTCATCAAAGAGAAAATCCTACACAAACTGATCAAACTTCATAAGCTGATGCAGACTGTTCATCTTTGAGGGCTCTATACAATAACAGCACACCATGATGAGCTACAGATGCTAAAAGTATCAGTTTCAGTCTCACAACTTTTCTTTTAAATGATGATAGAGCAAATTGAAAGGAGTTTACCAATATTATTCATACAAAACTACAGAATTGAAGTAGTGATTCGCATTTAACAAATAAGCAAACAAGAAACTGGAACTTAAAATAAAAGATAATAAAATATATCAAATAAAACTAGTTTTGTTTGTATTACAGCACTGGTATTATGGAAAATCTCATGAAAATAAAATTATGCTGGCCATATTTCACCAGAAAACAATAAAAAGCATCAAAAAACTTACAACAAAGCCAATTTTAGAATGCCTGAAATTATCAGTTACATTTTTCTAATAATAATTATTATTTCTGCTGTGTAATAAGGAGAACAATGTACTTTTTCAAATGAGCATAAATTATGCTTTTAACAAAAAAGCTTGCATAAATGCATTTGGTAATTAATATAGCCTTCGTTTTTTTTACATAAAACATATTTCAATATATAGTTTTTGGACTTTCAGGATACAAGAAGGTAAATTAAATGAAAAAAAATACAAGATTAAGCTAAGAAAATAATCAAAATAAATAATAAATCAAAGGGAAGATGATACATAGGCCTGTCACATTAATCAATATATCGACTTTTTGCACAATGGATTGACATAACTTCAGTCATTTTTGGTGATGCAATATATATCGCCCATACATAAAAACAACTCTAGCAACATTTTAGCTGATCGGCAACAACTCTATCTCTATCATAGGTGCCAGCATCAGAAGAGTGGAAAAAAAAACACTATGGTATTTTCTATTAATTACTTTAGTATATTTTCATGTGGGTGTCTGACAACTGAAATCAGATCTTTTAGCAGATATTGCTTTGTTACTTTTTAACATGAATTTTAGTTAACAATTATTAATATTTAATTGGGATTTACGTTTACACCGTCTGATTCCAATGCCTGATTACTAAATAGCTAAAATGATATATATATATATATATATATATATATATATATATATATATATATATATATATATATATATATATATATATATATATATATATATATATATATATAT